CCTTTCAAAATGGGTCCATGACCCCATTCTTTTGGGTAATGACCCATTTTTTAAGGGTCATGGAGACTCCAGGCATATATATATATATATATGTATACCTGGAGCCCCCGTTGCGACACAATTTGTGCTGCGCAAAATGCGTGTTCGAAGTTCGAGCCATGCTTTTCTGCTCGATGCTTCGAACAGCGCGCGGTCCTTGAAAAACAAAAAAAACAACCGGGCGTTCTGTTGTTCAATCTGTTCGGAGGAAGTCGAGCTCTTGTTGTGGATATTCGCGCTCCTTTTGCACTCCGATTTCTGCGCGCTGCTTTCAGCCACCGATCATCTCGGATAAATCCAAGAACATACCAAGGCAGCTCGAAACGTATATGTCTGGCCGTGTTCGGTACGACAACGAAAGCTATGCATCGAATCAGCAACATGTAAAACATCATATGCTAGGATGGGACCTTGAGGTGTATATATGTATGGTATACATGTACTGATTGAACACTGTGAACATGTGAATAGACTATGTACATATTACATATATATATATATCTATATATATGTACATATTAAATATATACCTAAAGTCTCTTTCTCACCGTTTGACAAAGGGTTCAACCAAACCTAAGGGGTCACCCCAGGTTGATTCCTAAATACTTGCAGGGTGCTATTGAAACACATATTCTCAGCTGGGAGAATCATGTTTCCACCATTTCGCCGATTCAGTGAAAGCCTCGCTCAGAATACTCTCTTTGAACCCGGTGGCTCGAGCTTCAGGCGCAGTGCGCAGCACCTAAGCCTTGAAAGCCTGCAGAACCAGTTGGTTCAGGTGGCCAGCGACATGTTTGGTGTCTGAAGATATTCTGCATCAGCCCTCCAGGCTTGAGTCATCATTTCCGAACAAGGTCAGCATTGTGTGTGTGTGCGGCTTCTTTGCGAACTCGGCACTATGTTTTGTCGTCACGTGGGTTATGCGGACACATCGAGTCTCTTCATTGACGCCTTCATGTACCTGGAGTCTGCATGACCCTTAAAACATAGGGTCATATGTGTCATTACCCAAAATAATGGGGGTCATGGACCCATTTTTGAAGGGTCATGGAGACTCCGGGTAGTAAGCGGTGGCACACAAACCTGGCGCCGAAGTGTGACACCAGTGTGCTTGTCCACGAGACGCTTGCGCTGAAGCTGAATCAGGCTGCGTTGCTAGTCTTCTTTGCCATGCCCAAGCTTGAAGAAAGCAATCGCAGCATGTCCCTGGAAAGGCATTGGATCCTACCTGGAGTCTCCTGCTGACCCTTTAAACATGCGTCCATGACCCCATTTGGGTAGTGGCCCCATTTTTTAAGGGTCATGGAGACTCCAGGTAGACACATTTGGTATGTGGAAGAAAGCCATATTCCAAGAGCAAGTGCGGAGTGCGGAGGTCTTGGCAACGCACGTTGCTGCTAAATGTAAGCGCCGGGCTCCTTGTTTTCGGCAATGATCTGCGGGCCTCGGAAGAGACGGGAGAGCCAACGCTCATGCGTGGGCGCAAGCGCCAAAAGGAAGGCCTGCCAACGAATGGGCCGATTCAGTACCACGACAAGTTACAAGATCCTGATGGATGAAGCAGTCCCCGGCCAGAGGTCACAACAATCGAAGTCCAACCATATTTGTTAAACCAATCAAATGGGTTCACACATCAAAGTAGGGGCCCGTCCAAATTTTGAATGGTGGTTGCCCTCGTGTCTCCATTTAAACCAACATTATCCAAGTTAAACCGACATATCAAAAGGGTACTAGTACACTCCAAAACAAGCAGACAGACATGGAGACACGCAAACACCGCGACGCAGAGATACAGAAAGTCAAAGAGAAAACGGAGACACGGAAACGGAGAGACACGAAACTCAGAGACACAGAGACACAGAAACGCAAACAGCCACAAACAGACACACAAGCACACGGACGCACAGACGCGCAAACACGCAGACAGGCAAACAGACCGGCACGCAGACAGACATGCAGGCATACAAGCACGCACAGACAGACAGGCAGGCAGGCACGCGGCCAGACAGCCAAACAAAGACAAAGAGACAGAAAGACAGAGAGACAGACATAGACCCACAGAAACAGACAGAGAGAGACAAAGAGAGACAGAAGGGAAAGAAGGAGGGAGAGAAAGTGAGTGACTAAGAAAGAGACATAAAAAAAAGATAGAGAAAAAGAGAGAGAAAGAGAGCAGACAGAGCGAGAGAGAGGAAGACAGAGAGGAAGACAGAGAGAGACAGAGAGAGAGCGACAGACAGAGCGACAGACAGAGCGACAGACAGAGCGACAGAGCGACAGACAAACAGACAGACAGACAGCCAGACAGACGGACGGATGGACGGACGGACGGACAGACAGACAAGTAGACAGGCAAACAGGCACCCAGAGACGCAGACACGCAGAAACACAGATGCACAAACACACAGTCGCACAGACACGCACACACAAACAACAAACAAACATAAATACACAGACACAC